CAAAATCTCATTGACTGTCTACCATAGATAAGATGGAGGGGTTATCTCTGGAAGCATATAGATGATTTCATCCTGGTCCTTGCTCTCAGAATCCATTCTTGTTAAGGTCGACAGTCATGAACTGATATATACAGGAAGGCTTCCTAGGGAAATATGACAGCATGTGCTCCATCCCTAACTCTCCCCATTCTGAAATGACTGAACATCCACGAGAACATGATGATAGAGAAGATTCTTTTCCTCCTTCAGGGACAAGAGAAGCAAGCATCCGTTGCACACGTTCAGAGGACTTCTCGTTGAGTACATTATAGATGAGAACCAGAGATGTCTATGGTTAGAGCTGAATGTCTCTCTGAGTTTGTGCGGTATCCCAAGGATTAGGCAGGAGACAGCCTGATGCAGTTCTACTGGGTCCCCACATGTCATGGTTCAGATCCAGAAACACAGGAGCAGAGCCTGAGTCTCAAGATTTGCCCCACTCAGACTTCAGAAATGCTAGCACATCAAATAAACATGGCAGTTCCTATCTAGTGGTGTGCCTAGGGAGCCAGAGGACAGTGGAGGACCACATAAATGGTAAGGTGATGGAGGAGAAGGGAAAGAAGGCTTCCAAGAGTAGACAGAGACTGTGACTTGGAGAATAATAAATGTGATTAGATGAAAGATGGAGTGAAATAGGAAGAGATTCCCAGGACAGGGTACAGTTTTACTAAAAATCTACAGCTATGAAGAAGCTGGAGAAACAGGAGCAGTTCTGCAGGATTCTAAGATTATTTGGGCTGCAACGTGGAAATTTCAAAATGAGAAGGGACCAAGCTTGCACACACAGAAACAGCGTAATCTTCTGCAGTATGTAAAACGAGAGGTGATGTAAATTAAGCTATGATGAAGAAGGAGGTGGGGCAGAGATTTTCAGTGGTTTGTGGGACAAGAGGGCCAGGAGGAAGTCAAAGCAGGCAGCTAGGCTGAGAGTCATGACATTAGCCACTGATGTAAAAGAAGAGGCAAGTTGTCCTGGTGTGGTGGCACATGCCTTTAATCCCAACAGAGGCAGAAGGATCTCTGAGTTTGAGGCTAACCTGGTCTACATATTAAATTCTAGGCCAGCCAAGGCTACATAATGAGACCCAGTCTCAAAAAAGAATGGAAAGAAGGAAAGAAGGAGGGAGGTAGAGAATGAGGGAGGGAAGGAGGGCGAGAAGGAGAGAGGGAGAGGGAAGAGAAAGAGAGAGAGATTAGAAAGGAAGGATGGTGTATTCGTGTATTCCGTATATATCAGGAGAAAGTTAGAAGTGTGATTCTGATCCCTGCCCTGTTAGAAACAGCCTGGCCAATCAATCATCCTCCAAAAACATGTGTTGTGACACAGGAGACTTTTGTAGATGGAAAATAAAGATGAAATTGATTGTTTACAGTGCACAGAGGAGAGCTTTGCAAGCCCAGTCCTCAGGCATCCTCTGTCACACACACATTTATATATATATATATATGGAATTCATTCTATTTTAATACCCCAGGAAATTCCTCCTCTCCCATCCACCAGCTCTTAGGGCCCAAGGGAGCCCACAAAAACCTTCTATGTTGTTACCATCGTGTGGTTATCAAACACGATCTTTGTTCTTGACATATATATCCATCCATATAAATGCCAGTTCTGTCTTCTAAGATGTCAGAACATTAGTCAGATGATGTCTCTGTAAGCAGACCTTTAGAAAGAGAGACCATGACCAATCTATCAAACAGGTACATGCTTGGAATAAATTGTGAAAATGCCCTAAGTGAGACAGTGTAAATGAATCTAGTAAAACATACATAATCCCTTTATTACTTGTTAAATGAGAAATCAGCACTGCCTAAGTAAGGCCTAAGGAGAGGGGGACACTGCAGCTTCCTTCCACACTGCGATGGAAACCCTGCCATGCTGTAACATAAACCCTGGCAAACCTAGAGATTTCCATCTGTCCCCGAGCTGGATCCGTTTGGCGCTGCTGCTGCCTGATTAGGAACTCAACCTGGAAATAGTGCAATGACAAATCACCAAAGGTCGGGGTGGTTGTGACTCAGGCTTTTTGAGTCAATGAACCCTCCAGAGTCAAGTTGAAATGAATTGCTTACCTTCAGTTATACTAATGAGAGCTTTGAACATCCACACGTGAGTAATTGCTCCCATGAGTGAGGATAGTTTGGGGCTTTTTCCTGATGAATGGAGAAATGGAGAGAAGTCTGAAAGACCAGTGACCCAGGGAAGAAAAGCCTCTCAGGGAAATCCCCTTGAAGGACTTTCATCTAGTGGCCGGGCTTCTACCCAGGAATTTAAACCTCAGAGGACAAAGGAGTCCCTAATAACAATAACAGAAGTGGGCTAGCTATAACTCAACAACATGGTTCATACCAAAAAAAAAAAAAGGCCTCAGAGATTACCACCCCTTTCAGATGAATTTCCCAAACTGCAGAAAATTCACTAATATCTGTGAAACTCACAGTAGCTCACAACACCCTCTACTCTGACTCAGCGTAGACTAAAGAATGAGCCAAAGAAATTCATCATACCGGCGTACTGGAGATCTCTGTTGGTTTTATTAAGTTATCTGATAAAGGTACAGAATCTGAGGCTAAGAATGGAGCTCATTTGGTAGAGTGTTAGCCTAGCATGCACAAAGCCCTGGGTTCAGTCCCTAGCATTGTGTAAAACTGGGCATGGTGGTGCATGCCAGCACTCAGGAGGTGAAGGCATGAAGATTGGAAGCTTATGGTCATCCTCAGCTACATTTGGAGTTTGAGGCCAACCTGGGCTACTTGAGACCCTGTCTCAGAAACAAAAAATTAGAGGCCCAGGATTCCAGCTGTGTTGTTGATTCTCTCTTCTGGGTTCTAATTATTCCAAATTGTTTTCTTCCTCACTACCAAGGCAGAAGAGAGCCAGTGTCCAGTCTGTGTTAGTTTTAGCAAACACCATTTAAGAAGCCTGAGGACAGAAGAGTCAAGAAGGGGAGAGAGGCAGGAAATTACTTCGTCACTTAATATCAGACAATGATAGTTTCAGATCCATGAACTCTCACAGGGAAGCATGTTTTTAAAAAAGAAGTGAGGCTGAGGAGAGAACTCAGTGGATAAAACATTTGCCCCACAAGCATGAGGACAGGAGTTCACATCCCCAGCACCCAAATATAGGCCAGTCAAGTGTAGCAGCTGCCTGTAATCCAAGCACTAGTGAGACAAAGACAGGTATCCCAGGGCAAGCTGGCTAGCTTAGACAAGCTGCAATTGGCAAGCTCCAGGTTCAGCCAGAGAGAGACCCCTCCTCAACGAATAAAGTGGAAAGCAGTCAAGAGAGGGACCTGGGGTCAACTCTGGGCCTTCACGTGCATACACACACATGTGCCTGCACACCTGTACTTACACATGCAGCTACGCAGTGCAAATATGCATACACAGGCAATGCATATCACACACATACATATGCAAGAACTAATAATAAAGGAAAAGGTAGGTAGTTGAGGTGGATGTCAGAGTAAACGAAAATGGAGCAACAAGTGCACAGCCAGATTGAGGGGACCGGAGCGACGGCTCAGGGGTCAACAGCACTTGGAGTTACTGCAAAGGACCTGAGTTGGGTTCTCAGCGCCCACATGGGATGAATTCATGACTGCCTATAACTCTAACCAGGGGATCCAGTGCCCTCTTCTGGCCTCCAAGGGACACCAGCACACACATACAATACACATTTTAAAAAAAAGCGCGGATGGTGGGGCTGGAGATACGGCTCAGCAGTTAAAAACACTGGTTGTTCTTGCAGAAGATCCAAGTTCAAATCCCAGAACCCACATGGTGTTGGAGACCTCTGTTATGCAAAGTAGAAGTCCCTTCATGACTGGACAGCTCATGCAGCTGCGGATCATGTGCTGAGGGCTCCTTTCATAGCAGGGTGTCTTCCTGGCATCTTTCCTGTCTCTCCTTTTGAAGTGTCTGCCACAAATGCCATAACATAAACATGGCCTTTGGCTCTGAAAGGTACCATGCCTTCCTGTAATTTCTCCAGGCAGACAGCAGTCTGGCAGAAACCCACTTCCATATGTAAATAGAATGCCTCACAAAGCATCTAACAGCCAAAGCTTTTACCACTACCCCCATGGTATAAGTATCCTAGTTTTCTCTTAATAGACAGAGAGCTGGGTCACAGAGCTGCTGAATTACTGAGAGCAGAGACACGTAATAAAGCTGTAACACAGACTAAGCCAAGTCTTGAGTTCTGTGCCTTACTACCGGCAACCCAGCCTCTCCGGGGGCGCACTCCCTCGTGACCTGACCGACTTGCGGACATCCTAGCTTTCGCTGTCCTCGTACTCTTTCTGTGGGGTTCAGTGGCCAGTGGACCTCGCATCCTGAGGAAAAGTACACGGGTGGAAAAGGGACAGGATTTCGGCTGGACAATGCTCCAGTAGCAGAGATGGGACAGAGACACGGGACCAAGCCTGCGGGAAAAGCCTGCGGGGCACTCACCGCCACGGCCAGAGACGCCTGTGGCCAGAGCCATGCCGCGACTCGCCAGGCGTGGCGGGGACCCCGAGATCCAGGGGCCCAGAGCGACCCCGAGATACCCACACACACCACACCTGAGGCCCATAGAAACACGGAGAAGCCCGCAGGACCAGACCAGCTTTCCTTCAGACGCACAGCGGGGGAGTGCCATTCCGGGAGTGCGCCCTCTCGCGCGCACCATAACATGGCAGCTAACAACTGTCCATAACTCCAGTCCCAGGGGATCCAACAGCCTCTTCTGACCTCTGCATTGCACAACACAGGTGCACTTACCTACATGCAGGCAATACATGCATAAAAATAAAATAATAAATAAATAAAAATATTTTAAAAAGGAGAAGAATCAGACTAAGTCTTGGAATCCATAGCCAACACTATTATTTTCACCCAAATATCTGGGAAAACATATTAGGAACATTAATGCTTATTAAATGCTTTGGTTTTAAAGGCATGATCTTACAGTGGTCAATGATTCCGAGTTTTTGTAAATGTTTCATAACATTCAGTGACTTAATTGCACATATCTGTGTTTTATGTCTCTGACAAGAGCAAACCATCTTGAAAATATCCCAAATAAATACAAATCACCTGCTCAATGTCGAGCCAGTTTCATGACACATATAAATAGACCCTGTAAGAATTTTGTGGTGTCATATTTAGTTGGAGTGACTAAAATAGACTCACTCTTTGTAAACTCATTTTCTGGTTACTGTGTTTCTTGGGCACTTACTTGGAAAAGAAAAAAGAAAAAAAAGTTGGAAAATGTTTGCTTTCTGTGCAGCTAGTGAATGTAGCTTCCTTAGACACAGTGGAATTAATTCTTTCCTTAGTTCTCCTTAGTGAGCTTAGATGCAGACTTGCCAGAAAAATTCTTCCTCTGGCCAGCAAGTCTGTGGTTGGGGTGAGTCTGGCAATATGCTTGGCAGAAGGGGAAATAAAAGCATTTGTTCAGATGGATAGTGGGCCCACTGGAAGCTCCGGCTCTCTGAGATAAAACACTGAGTGGAGATGGGACAGCAGAAATAAATTCTCTGAGCCGCACAGTGTTTGTGTTTTGTTCTTTTCCCAGGGATCAGCCATGTCACCATTTCTTCGGATTGGTTTGTCCAACTTTGACTGTGGGACCTGCCAGTCTTGTCAGGGTGAGGCCCTGAACCCCTACTGTGCTGTTCTTGTCAAAGAGTATGTTGAATCAGGTAAGTTCATTGGGGTCAGCTGGGGGCAGTGGAGACTCTGGCCAGGGAAGGGTGTGGAAGGCAGGATGGTCCAGGACTTTCAAGGTCATCTGAATTTCACAGTTCACCACACTGATGCCCAACGAGGCCAAGTATTTTCTTAAGGACCCAGGCTTAGTGATGAACTCCAACCAAAACCTTGTGATTCACTAGTGGGTCTATTTCATTGTGTCATTTTTCTCTTCATAAACAAAGTTAAGAAGAATGTTACCTTGAGGAATTGGGTAGAGGGTTAATGGAGAAGAAATCTAATAAGCCAAAGCCCATTATGTATAACATATTAATAACTGATTATGGGGCTGGAGAGTTGGCTCAGCAGTTAAGAGCACTAGTGGCTCTTGCAGAGGACCTGAGTTTTATTCCCAGCACCCACATAGTGGCTAACAACCGTCCGTAACTCCAGTTTCAGGCATTGCATGACATGGGTGCACCTACCTACATGCAGGCAATACACTCATACACATAAATAAAAAATAATTTTAAAAACTTTTGTTTTAAATGATCATAGTTAAATTAAGCCTGTCTAATCCTAGTTGATCCAGGACTCAAGTCTTAAAGACTGCTTGCCTAAGCTCAGGTGAAGATTAGAAAGCATCTATAATCAGCTATTACCCTACATGAATAAAATAATACTCTTGTTTTATCAAGTGTGACTGTATACAGGCAGTTGATGGTGAGGGGGAAACACGTATATTCTAGAAGATTGCTTTTGTGGGTTTAGACTGTTCTGACAAAATGGCTGGAGAGATGGCTTAGCAGTTAAGAGCACTGGCCGCTCTTACAGAGGACTACTGGGTTTTGGTTCCCAGCACCCACATGGTGGCTAACAACCGTCCATAACTCCAGTTCCAGGGGATCCAGTGCCATCTTCTGACCTCCCTGGGCATTGCATGACATGGGTGCACTTATATGCATATAGGTGATACACTCATACACATAAAATAAAAATAATAAAATATTTTTTTAAACAAGCAATCCCATTGGGTAGGGAATCCTTGGTAATTACTTCCTCGGGTGCCTACTCACTTAATCGCCTCCCCTGCATTTCAAGATTCTTAAGCCTCTTCCAAAGGAAAGACAGATGCTTACATCCCAAGATACCTCTAGCCTCCTTGCACCATCCTGTTTCCTTACGTGCAGACAGGTTGTTTTAGAGAGGTCTGATTCCCAGGCAAGCAGCCTTGCAACACCTGAGAAGGTATCCCAATTCATCTACACCATAAGTATTTATGGAGAGCTTAAAACAGACAGGAAAATGCATCAAAAGATGCACAGCAAGAGGGCTCTCCTGTCATAGCTTCCATTCTCGCAGAGGAAGAGAAGCCATTAGCAAAAATCCAACGTGATGACTGATGAGGGCTGACAAGGAGACAGAGTAAGTGGCAGAGAGGAGGCCCTATGGAGTGCCCCAAGAGTCTTTGTTGGGGTTGTGAGTGCTAGGGGAAACTGAGGCACACACTGAGAGCCTCTACCTAGGTGCTTGCAACTAAGAATTCTGGGGGTTCCAAATTCTCTCATCCTACCCACCCCATCTTCCTTCATGACTCACTTCATCTCTGAGCACAGAGTGCATCATCAAAGCAGAGGAGACTGAATCCTCTTGATTTCCCTTCCGCCCAGATTTCTTTCCTGTTTCAAAAGTAAAAATGCCACTTGCTCCCACCTCAACCCTTTCAAATGCCACAGACATCTTTGAAGTGTAAAATGTCTGAGTTTTACGAAGCTGCTTTTGACTTAATGGGTCTGCTGAATCCAGTCCTCTTTACAACCCCAGGTCTCACTGACATTTGCCTCCTGGCAGTCTTTTATTGTTGTTGTTTTTTCCCCTTCCTCTTCTTCTGGTCTCTCCTTTGAACTTGATCTCATCAGTCATGTGGATCAAGAGACCTTGTCAGCAAAAGAAGAAAACTGTTTTTCCAAAAGATTGGCCTGTGGACTTGGGAGATTTTTCATTTTTGTTCAGGTTGTGCTCTGAAAGGAAATTACTCCAAGTTCAAGGATGCCTCTGTAAAACTTAAATAGGTTTCCACCTTTGGGGTTTGAGGTTGCATTTTTCACACTGAATCAGGGAACAGCGAAGACGGGAAGCAGTGCTATTGGCCTGGGTGTCTTTGATAGTGACAGCTTGTGTGTTGGTGAGTTTTATCTGTTGATTTGATTCAACCTAGAATCACCTGAGAAGAGAGTCTTCATGAGGAATTATCTAGATCAGGTTGGCCTGTGGCTTTGTCTTTGGGGGACTGTCTGATTGTTAATTGATGTAGGAAGACCCCGCCCACTGTGGGTGGCCATTCCCTCCCCAGGAGTTCCTAAACAGTGTAAGAGAAGAGAAAGCTAGCTGAGGGCAAGCAAGCCAGCAGGTAAGCAAGTGGACCCGCCTACACTTATTTCTCTGTACTGTGGATATGATGTGACTACCTGCTTGAGTTCCTGCCTTGACTTCCTCTCAATGAGGGACCATCACCTAGAATTGTAAACTGAATAAACTCTTTCTCCCCTAAATTGCTTTTTGTCAGGATATTTTTTTCTCATTTTGAATTCTCAATTGAATTTTTTGCAAATTTCTAATATATTTTGATCACATTTAGGCCCCTCCCCTATCAGCACCCCTCATCTAGCCTCCCCCACCAGATTCCATGTACTTTGTCATATATATTAAGACCTATCCAATCAAGTTTGTGTCTTCAAATGTCCTTCAGTGTGCATCCACCTGCTGCAACCTGGTTAACCTGTGTAGTATCACACCCTTAAAGAAAACCAACTCTCTCTGTCAGTAGTTATCAGTTACCAACATTTCTTCAGCTAAGATTGGGGCATCTTATGCATTTCCCCATTTCTAGTCTGGGATTTTGTCTGGTTTGAGCTTGCATGGGTCTTGTGTATGTTGTCCATAGGCACAACTCCCCAACAGTCTGGAAAACTTTTTTCCTTGTGGTCATCTGTCTCCTCTGGCTCTTAGAATCTTTCCACCGCCTCATCTGAAATGGACCCTGAGCCTCAGGTGGCAGAGGTCTGATATAGGTGTCCTATTCAGGCATCAGCACTTTGAAGTTTCTTTTTTGCTGCTCTTTGGCCAGTTGTGGATTTCTGTCCCCTGTTTCACTATATTCTCTGAGCCTTAGGTGTAGAGGTTGCATCATACATGTGTCACTCAGGGTGGGCACCTCACGGTCACTTATTCTCTGAGTTTGACCAGTTGCGGAACTTTGTAACAGTCTCCATCCACTGCAAAAAGAAGTTTTTTGCCAGTTTTAGCCAGGACCCCTACTTTCCTACCTGGCTTCACATGCAAGTCTGCCATTAGCTTTGCTGGTCCCTCACATTAAAGCATCATTCTCCATGAATTTCTTTTGTTTTTTTTTTTTTGTCTTTTTGAGACAGCGTCTCCCTGTAGCCCCAGCTGTCCTCGAACTCACTGTGTAGACCAAGCTGGCCTCGAACTCACAAAGATCCACCTGCCTCTGCCTCCCGAGGACTGGGACTAAAGGAATTTCATTTTTTTTTAACCACTGAATAATATTCCATTGTGTAAATGTACCATATTTTCACTATCCGTTCATCAATTGATAGACAGCCAGGTTGTTTCCATTTCCTGACTGTTGCCAACAGAGCACCAATGAACAAGGATGAACAGGCATCTTTGTGGCAGGATACAAAGACCTTTGGATATATGCCCAAGACTGGTATGGCCGGATCATGAAGTAGACCTATTTTTAGCTTTTTGGGGAACTTCCACGCTGATTTCCATAGTGGCTTTACCAGTTTTTACTCCCATTAGCAGTGAATAAGTGTTTCCCTTTCCCCACATTCTCAGTAGGATTTGTCATTCTTTGATTTGTTTGGGCATGTCTTTCTTTAGTTTTGGAAATTTTCTTCGACAATTCTGTTGAAGATCTGGTCCATGCCATTATCGTGGCATTCTTCTCCTTCCTTTTTTGCCATTGTTTTTTTTGGTAATCCCAGCACTCAGGAGGCAGAGGCAGGCAAATCTCTGTGAGTTCAAGACCAGCCTGGTCTGTATAGTGAGTTCCAGGACAGCTGGGGCTACAGGGAGACCCTATCTCAAAAAGAAAAGTTTTAACCTTTAAAAAAGATCTCCATTTTATTATAAAAATACACAGTCTCATACAGAAAAACTTATTTTTAATGTAATTGACACTAAGATGTTTGCACATGCATTTCTGATCTCTATATATCTGATCTTATTTATTTAAAAACAGTAACTTTCCTGGGCCTGGAGAGATGGTTCAGCTGTTAAGAACACCAGCTGCTCTTCCAGAGACCTGGATTTAGTAACCAGCAACCACATGACAGCTTACAACTCCAATTCCAAGGGATCTGATGCCCTCTTCTGGCCTCAGCAGGCATCAAGCACACGTACATACATACACGCAGGCAGACATTTGTACACGCGAAATAAAAATA